GGGGGGGCACAAAAAAAAACAACCAACAAAAAAAAGTGTGCATAGGGGTACTGGGCCAATATAGAGACACTATCAGGTAATCTGGAGATCAGTTACCCTTCTTTTTGTCAATTAACTTACTACTTGTGTAAATATGCATATTATCAGAACAGCATCATCTTAATTATTAAAAGGGAAGACCAGGTAGGGATCATTCCAACTGCAGAGGTGGTTATTGCCTATTTATAGGAGACTGACATTTCACCTCCTCCAGAGCACGTAGAACCTTATCATAAGAGACTATGATGAGAGCTAACTGCTGAATCATGGGGTTATGCACCATAACTTAACAAAAATAGGACTATGAACTGAGCAAATAGTTTCTACCCAGAAATTTTCTTTTGACAGTATATGGTGAGAGGGTTTCTAATCTACTGCCTTTTGAAGGCATACGTTATTCCCTGTGGTATGGGTAGAGGAAGATGTCTTATTGTTATTTAACATGAATAAATCGTTAGATAACTAACCCATCAAAAATTCTTAGATCATGAGCTCTGGCCCAAAGATGTATTCCAAGCAATCTTAACACTTATTTCTCCTCTTTAGTTGGCCTTTACGTGAAGCATAATAATACTTCCAAAAGCTGTTTTTTCCTCCTGATCAGTAAACCATTTTGCTTGTTTGTAAGTTCAGTTATATCACAATGGGAGAATGAGTCTATCTAAATTCATGACCGTAAGAGTATCAATTATAACTCTCAACGCTCATCACAACGTCGGAGATTCCCTCGCAATAACTTCGGAGTTTAGGCCCTCGTCACAACCCTAGAGTCTAGGTGTTGCGGAAGGGACCTTTAACATGGTACCGGAGCAACCCAGGTTCAAACACCATCGGTCTTCCTTTTTCAAAAAGGGAAAAAAAGGATAATGTTGTATGAGCCCAGGTTTTGACCCGTCAAAAATGCCAACAACCTGCTGGGTAGGGGTGGAAATGAACCAAATAATTAACAAATAGTTCGATAATTGTTCGAATAACTATTCGATCATATTCGATTCGGTAGTTCATTTACCACTAAACAAATATTTTTTAGTATTCGAGTTTACTAACGAATAGAATTTAACCAGATGTATATTCGATTCGTTTGTCTATTAAATATTCGTTTAAAATTTAATCACAACTTATTATTTGTATTATTGCACATATGATGTCATATTTTTAATTCATTTATCATTTCTATTTAACTTTTATATACTGATTTTAAGTCTTAAATAATCTTAAATCTATTTTCTAATTAAAATTTTAATTTAAATATATATACATCATATATTAAAAAGGAATACATTTTATTTATGAATTTTAATATTATTTGAAAATCAAATTTTTTTAGTAGAATAAATACACTCTAATATTCGATAAGTATTCGTGAATATTCATGAATATTTATCAAATACCAAGTATTCGAGTTCGAATTCGAAAAACTAGATATATGAATATTAGAGTCCGCATTCGAATTCGATAATTTTAAACAAATACAAATACGAATACCTTAGTATTCGATTCGATTCGATCGTTTACCACCCCTACTGCTGGGGCATGTTAGAGTAGAAAAGTATTAACTCTTAATGCTCATCACAACTTCTTGGTGTAGTCGAAGAGACCTTTGACAATGACAATAGCACTGAATTTTCATGGCATTATCATGAATCGAAAAGTATAATAACATATGAACAGAAAAAACACTAACTAAATGATGGAAACCATGAAGTAAGAATAAAGCAGCTTACATGAGAATTCTCCTTAGTTTCATACGTTTCAAACATCGATTGTAGGTATATGTACCGAGCATTAAGCCAAACCACCCAATCACACGGGCAGTCCCCAAAAAGGATGCTTCCAAGTGCAAGACTTCAGTCTGATAATAAAACATGACTGTTGAGAGATTGGGAACTGCAACATTTGAAAAGAAAAACCAGGCCATGGGCCTGAAATTCCAATTGGTCAAATGTATGACAGTAATATCTGAATCAGAGTACAGAAAAATGACAAATATGAAAGCAGATTATGGAACTGAGTTTCTACCTTATGATAATGGGTTGCCTAAATGCTCGACACAAACTAAAGAAAGCAGATTTCAGAGATTCATGCCATCTAGGAGTTATTGATGAATGTACTGTTGTAATTTCAGATTTCATGGAGATGGTTTCCTTTTCTTCCTTCTTATGGCTGTCTTTTCGCCTTCTTGTAGTTTGAGAATATGATTTTTCAGAAGAGGAACTTCTTGTACTACTATCTGAATGGTTTTGCATGTGTTCGTGACCATTTTGATCCATCTTTGGAGTTTCAGAAGGGACCTCCTCAATAAAAGCACACGACAATAGCTGGATGATTGGCAGTATAGAGAAAAGCAGGAAAATTGTGTCTGTCCTAAGTGTTGACAGTGTGTAACCTCCTAATAAACTCCCACATATTCCTCCCAAGGCCATTGCAGACCAAGATAATGACTGGAGATCGCCAGAAAATTCTGCTCTGATCAAAGAATACCTTGTCAAGTAAAGTTCTGAATATATAAGGTTTTCAGGAAAAGCAAGAATCATAAATTTGAACATACTTCTCAGCACGAACTGCCTCTGCAATCATTGCGTCAATAACAACATCTGCCATCGCAGTTCCCAGGTTTTGTATCGTTAAGAGAGCCATCAGGAAATTTCGCGAACTCCTTAGGGATGTTGAACCCATGACAAGCCACGGGAAGAGAGAGAGGATGGTTGCTAGAACCAAGTATGGTTTTCTTTTCTTCCGTCTAATTGGGATACAATCTGATAGAATTCTGCAACAACAAGATACAATAACTTCAGCAAACAACCTGACATCAGTTGCCAGATAAAAGTTTGAGACATCTGATACTGCCTTATTTAACATATTATGATCTGAAAATGAACGTCCTGTAACATTCTATAAAGCCAGTTATTTTTAGTTGCTTGAATTGTATGATAGAAATTCCAAACCACATGATCTTTGATCCACTTAGGTTTAATAATCTATAGATCACACTACTAGGATTATTTAACTAGATGGCCTGATAAATCTTTTTAGTAATAGGGGTAAACTTCTTAATTTAACTTCTTACTTGTTAGTTGCACCCTTTGTGTAATATAACCTTACCCTTTTATAAATATATGAAATATTGTTTGTCTTGTTGGTGATGGTAGGTGATGCCAGAAGCATGTGAGTGTGTATGCATTGGGGTTGGAGTGGTGTTGGTGGGGCTAGAAGGTAGTGCTTCGGTTGGGGTTGTAAGAGGAGAATCCACTAGACTAATAGGCATATGAATATATAACTACCTATGCCCTGAACCATATCCAAAAAAGGACAATGAAGAGTAGCCAATCCACAGAAAACATAATATAACAACATCACCACTTACAGTACAATGGAAATTACGAACAAAAAAAGGAAGAAAATTAGTCAAAAGAACATTCTACGATCACTAGATCAATTGCGCACGCACAGCCACACATACACACACAAACACTCTACCTCGATAATGTTTGTAAGCCTACTACTAACCAAAATACATAAAAAGCTCAGATCACATCAATGTGAACATTTCCATGGAGATAAAACAAAATATTGTAGTTAATGGATCCAAATCTATATCTATATCTATACTACATATAAAAGAGGATTGGGGTGTAAAAACTTTTGAATACCTTTTTTATCCCTCTTAAATTTGATAATTCCAACTTTATGTATCTACTTATATACAATAGCATACATACATGTTACAATTCCATTAGAATTCTTAATAATTTCTCATTAATGCACACCTCCTCACTCATCCATTATCTCCACTAATCATCTTTAGTATCCTCATGACTAATCACGAATATAATTCTCCATCTCTTTAAATTCTTATATCATAACCTTCCTTTTCTTTACAATAAACATCTCATCAAACTACATCGTCAATATTTAGAGGGGTCAAACAACCTTAAATAATCTTTTACATGTGAAATGCGGTCAAGGAGGAAGAGGGGACTCATGATATCATCCTCTATTTCTAAAGTAGAAATATGTTACGCATGCAAGTTGTTGACATTTTTATGATAATATTATATTGTTTTATTTTTTATGCTAATATCATGTGGACTAATATTGATACATGTGGTTAAAAAGCAGTGACCCTTCTCTTACAACTCCATACATCTAATATGTTATAATTAAACATATCCTCCTATATCTCTCTCAGCTGCCATAGTTTTAAGTTTTTAGGAGAAATTTTGTTATGTGTTTTTTTATGTATCTCATACTAATATACATTACATGTGGTTAAAAAGCAGTGACCCTTCTCTTACAATTCCATGCATCTAATATGTTGTAATTAAACCTCTCCTCCTATCTCTCTCTCACCTGCCATAGTTTTGAGTTTTTAAGAGAATTTTTGTTATGTGTTTTTTAATGTATCTCATACTAATATTTATTTTCCTTTATGATGAAGGATTGTGATTGCCAACGATTAGTGTGATAATATGATAGTAATTCAGGAAAAATTTTATCCAAGCTTCTGAATTGTACTCAATTTACTATTTAGTTGCCTAAATGTTGAAATTTACAATCTTTTTTCTCTCAGGTGAATAGTTTGAATAAACATGACACTCTTAGAAGTTCATTATCCAAATCTCCACTGGTTTGAACCTGATCATAATCAAAACCTATATATCTTCATATGACGGTTAGTTCATGGCGGTAAGCGGTAAGCCTATAGCCTAGAACTAAAGCATACGCACGAATACAAGTCATGTTAAGAATTGTAGCTAAATGTTACTTTTTACTGTTCAATGTCATAGATAGAGATGGGAACGAAATTTGGATAAAGAGATCATATATCATGTATACAAACACTAAGCTATTCTCCTCTTGAAATGTAAATATTATATATGCAAACTAGCTAGCTCATATCATATATATATATATTTTTTAGCAAATAATATCAACAACCTTACTCCTCAGTTGAATTACGTACATACTGATAGATTTAAATCATGTCCATCTCATACTTCTAAATTCTTTTTTCCTTGGTGCACTAGAGCAATATCCTCTGCGAGAATAATGAACATTACATATCCTATGAGAGGATTCTCTCATATACAATGATGTGATATAATCTCCACCAAGTCAATAAAAGAGGAGAGAGAAACCCTTATAATCCTCTATAGCCACAGTTTTTATATGCTTATATATACAATCACATCTTATTATTAATTGTAATTTTACTTTGATGTCAGTCCATTGAGAAAATACATATTTCTTTCCTTCCATTAAAAGAAACTGATGTCAGTGTTTTGTTGTACAAAGATTGTACTTGAGCTCATGAGCATTGACCACTAACAAACCCATGCTTCTATCCAAAGTACTCAGAGGAGTGCTCAATGATCTCAACTGCTATGTTGTCAACGCCGAATTGTGGACTAACAACAAAAACGGTAGCAACTCTTTTTCATGTTACTAACAAGTCAACTTGGCTTCCAACTAAGGGTCCAATAAGATTTTTCAATATCAAGTGCTCTTATGCAATGTTTTAAAGGGTGATGGTGGTTCACACCCTCTATAGTTTCGATGGAGCTCAGACACATTGAGAGACATTTGCACTGGCTTAGATTTTATAAGAACTCTAAAAAGAGTGCAAGAGTAGGAGATGAGAGGCCTAGATATCAAGCGACTGGTACGCATTGCTTTAAGAAGGAATATTGGATCGTTATTATGAGGGTTCAGGATCGGCCAAGCTTCTCTATTTGTACTCCAACTGATATGCAACATGTTGCGGTTCAAGCATTTATAATTCTTCCATAAAATGTTTATATTTCATTGGTTGTACATGACAGGTTTATGTTGGTTCTAAGATAACAATAACCCAACATTGTACAATATTATTGGCTTGTTCGCTGCAATCACAGAGCAAGCTCATCTATTTGAAATTCAAAAATTGCTTGAAATTGACACAATTGACAAATAATATGTAATAGAGGATATCAGGTATCTCTAATTAGTTTTAAATCTTTATTTGTTAGTATATTCCAAATCTTTGTTTTTTAGTTCACAAAACAACTAAACAAGTTCATAATATTAATATAAGACACCACGTGCAAAGCACGTGCATTATACTATGAATATTAACTGCTCGTTATCCCCTATATTTACATAAGATAGCTAACCAGGATGTCTAGTTAATAACACTCTTTAACAAATAAATTGGCAGTTTATCTGCATGCATGCAAGATTAGAAGTCATAGCCAAGGTGTGATTTCCTTACCCATATAAAGGTTTAATACTCCAAGGGAAATATGCAACAGAAACCACAAATTGTGAGGCTGAGGGTGAAAGCTTGAGCATATCTTTCATCTGGTAGGAAACTGCAGTCCACACGAAGGATCTGAAACCCTGAGACAACATTCATGCCATCAGCCTTCATAGGAGATAAAATAAAAACTTCACATATTCAAACATTAAGAGGCGGGTAAATATTTCCTAGGACATTTGATAAAACCAGTAGATGCTGAGGCTTAACAAGCACAAAATCAATTAGTTTTTAGTGATAATAATAACTCTATGCCGCATAGTTCAACATAGATAGCGAGATGTAAATGAGTAACAGTCGAACTAGCTTATTTCAGACTAGAAAAATCTAGTCAAGTACCCTCTAACATCCAATAAGTTTAGCTATATATCAGCATTCCTCAATGTTGAAGTTCACCTACCCTTTGGTTTGGCATTAACAATGACTCAAATCTACTACAATGGCAGGTTTAGCTGAGGAATAAGGCTCAAACGAAAGGACCACTTTTTCATTTGGGGATGTTGGCATCCGCACCTGGGGAATGTGAATATACATGCATATGCAGATCTGTGCACAAACACCCATGTCGCCATGCATACATACACACCCACAATCGTTAACCAACATCCATGTGGTTTGCATCCAATAAACAAGTCTAGGTGGGATCATCTTTGTACCTGATTTCCAAACTGATTATGCATTTGCGTAATCGCCTTTGCAGACACATAACCAACATGGGCCCAACTAAAATGGCCCAACTACTTTCTTTTTGTCACATTGAGCAAATTCCATATGAAATTGGGCTGCATATCTAGACGTTGCCCCCTTACGCAGCCGCAAAAGGCTTGTTTTAGAATATGATAACATTTCATGAGATTGCATGTACTTGGTGTGCCCAAAATATATTTGATAGTATATTCCTATACGTTAAACATATTTTCACCATTACCATATCTTTACTTGGTCCACATTTTAAATATATGTACGCGCGACTATCCACATTAAAAATGAACATGTTCGTATAACGAATAGATTGCCCAAATTTGTTTGCACCTTAGTTTCATGCCAACTAGCCTTCCTAATTATGTTTTAAGTAAAATCACAAAACAACCAATAGTAATCTTATCGTTGAATCAATAATAACGAAGCACGTTGGAGATTTAAATTACTAGGCGTGAACACAAATTGATAAGAGAAAAGCTGCAACGTTTCGTAGAGATTATATGGGGGAAAAAAAATCGAGGCAAAGGGAAGGAGGAACCTGAGTGAAGTAGATCAAGATCACGAGCCATACGAAGGACGCCCCGAAGGCAGAGCTCATCCTCTTCACCCATCCGATCGCCATTTTTACCCCCACTCTGCTTCTTCTTCGATCGTTTCGAGATCTACAAATTTTGGGGGTTTTAAGCGAACCCCTGTAAATAAATAGAGGGGAGAGAGCGCGTGCGCGCTGCTCGTGCTCTCTTTTGAGTCTTTGACCCGCTACCCCCTCTCTGTGCCAATCTCGGTGGACCCGAGCTAAAAAGTAATGGGTTTTTTTAGATATTGTCCCCTAACATTAGTCAATAATTGCGTATTAGTCGCTCAAATCCTATAGGGTATTGCCAATTGGTCCCTCCATTAGTATTTCAGTTTAAAGAAAAGCCTAGCCATAACTCATTTAAATCCTAACTCAACGTCTGTAATTACTAAACTATCCCTCTTTTTGATATTTCCAACCTTTTTTTCTAACCATTGCAGAAGTGAGAACTTACGTGGATTTGGGTTAAGGAATATAATAGAGGGGGAAATGGTCATTTTTACCTCCAACCTTTAGATTTGATGAAATATTCACTTTAAATTTAACACCATTTAACTTGAAGGACTATTTTGCAAGACCCTATATAATTGAGGAATTGATACATAATTTTAAGATTTTATGAACTAATATGCAATTGTGTAAGATTTTAAGGAGTTTCGATTTTTTTTTTTTTTTAAATGGATCCTATTAGAACATCTTGCAAGGTGCGAGAGGTTCTGGTTCACACAAAGTGCAAAATAAGGGGCAGTGTGGTTATTTCAATGCCCGTATGTGTGGCTCTAAGAACTAAGCACAGTGTAGGGTTTTAATAGGATCATTAGTGAGATTTAAGGGTCTAATATCTTGAAATAAACCAAAATAAAGTATATCCCCATCAGCATTAATACATATATAGTATTAAATATCTATATCTGACAGTATATAATTACAAATACTAATATGCAGTGAAAAATGTGTTTCCATATTCGAAATATCCAAATATATTTTTTGCAATTGTTTTAGTTCTTCATTAATGGATTTGATGTTAATTTTAACCATTAAAAATGTAATCTTAGCTTTTCAGATTAATGAACATATTAAGGAATTTTCTTCTATCAAATGAGCTATATTTTCTCAATATTATTCAGTTTCTCATATCCGCATGTATATCAGTATGAATATACAATTACAGCGGATATTGATATGAGTTTTTCTTATCAAGTTGTATCCATATTTACATCAATATCTGTGATTAGTAAGTAGATAAGAATATGATAAGCATTATGTCTGAGCTGTATCCGAACCGTTTGCAATCTCAAACTCGAATTGTTTAAAATTTTAATTTATTTTGGTCATATTATTAGTCTAATTTAGTATATTAATAATTACTTTTTTTATATATTTTACCAATCTCTAACTTCAACAAATTTTACTTGTAAAATGATATCTAAAAACTTTTTATTATTTAGATGAAATTAAGTGACTGTTTGGTTATGTTGAAATAGAGATGAAAATAAAAGTAGTGCAATCGGACTTGTTTCGGTCGTTTGGTTTGAAACATTTCAATTGGATGGTAAATGAACTTGTAAATTGTAGGAAAAAACCGCAAGGAATATTGCGACCAATTTGGTAGAAGATAATGTTGCAGAATCCAGAAAAAAATTAAAAATAATAATAATTTCATCTTGTCAAAAAAATCCTTCTAAATCCAAATAGGAAAATTATCTACACTCATGTTTCCTTATATGATAAATTTGGGAAAAATACCAAATTGGTATATTGTGTTTACCCTTAGGGGGTGTTTGGTTCAATTTCTAGAAATTATAGGAAATGTTTTCCACCTAAATTATGATTTCCTTGTATTTCTTTAAAAAAATATAGGAAAATTTTTGAGAAATAAAAAAGTACCAATTTTCTTGTTTTTTGTATTTTGCTTGTTTGGTTCAAAACAAGAAAATAGCTCATAACTTTATAGAAAATAACAAGATTTGATAGGTTTTTAATTAAATATGGTATGTGTCAGACTTCTGGTGATTTCCTCTCATTTTGAGTAAACAAAATATACCAATTTAGTATTTTTGCCGATGAAATTGCATATCTTTGATATAGTTGTTTCTAAACCAAACATTGAATGTGCATTGGAAATATATTTCCCGTCGTAAAAATTGAGATATCCAAACAATAGATTTGAAGTTGATTTTTTACAACATCTACTGCAAATTTATTTTTGCAACAAACCAAAATAAGTACAAGATTATTTTTTTTAACTTTATACTCAATTTTTTATCTAAAATATGGGGATTGTTTTGTGGATGGAAATGGAGTTGCAAATATAAATAGAACAACGCATTTTGTATTTAAAAAACTTACAACAAATGTTACAGCCAATTTGGTGGGAAAGGAAAAGTTATAAGCTTCAAAAAAGAAAAGTAAAAAATAAAAATAATTCCACTCATAAAAAAATCTTTTAAAATCCAAATAAGAAAATCATCTACACTCAAGTTTCCTTATATGACAAAGTTTTGTAACTTTTAACGAATTGTTTTTAACCAAACACTAAAATTGCAAATACATCTCTTTACAATATAATTGCATATATCCAAACATCGAATTTGAAGTTGATTTCTTCCCAAAAATGTTGCATGCATGTAACATTTGCTACAATTTATGTTTGCAGCAAACAAAAAAAGTTGTAAGGTGATGGATGATTTGCTAAAGGAGCTAGCGAAGAAATTGACACTGCATTGAGTCCCACCCCACCTCACGTTGCAAAAATGAGCAACCAACCATCAAATTCACATGTACGTCTTTCATGGGTTCGTTGATCTTGGTATAACTCAAGAGCCGTTTTGTTTGCTGCAAAAGGAAAATGTGGTAAACGCTGCAACAACAAATGTTGCATTAACATTGATTGCAATTTTTTTCCTTTAAGCCAATTTTATATGGAAATATATATCTTGATTGCAAATTCGGTATTTGGTTAAAAAATTATTTCAATGCTATAAGTTTTGAAATTTGAAAGGTATTTTTAGTTAGATATTATTATCATTACTACTACTACTATTATTTAGAATAATGTATATCCTTGTGATCATATGAGGGTTTTACTTTTTTAATTTTCAATAATTTAAATAATCTAAAACATCTGTCACAAACAAATTAAGTACAGAATCTGGCTTTAGATTTTATATAAATGTTATGCTAATTAGCACCTAAAATGCCTTATATATAGTTCTCACTGCTTTGAGCGTATATACCTACACTTAATTTTACGGACTTACATATCCTAAAATTTTGGAATATTTTCATCTTTAGTACCTTTTGTTATGCTAGCGTGAGAATCTTCCTCCAAATATTAATCTCTCGTGCGACACTCTCATTTTAAGTTTGGACCTTTTAGACCTTAATGTTTGCTGATTTAGAAGTGAAAATGCAAAATTTAAAAGTTTTCGTTCCATTGTGATAAATTAAAAATAAAATTCACGCAGGTTTAATACTAAATTCAACAGAAGTTAAGTGCTAAAAATTTCTAATGTCACCATACGAGCCGCGCATGAGGACAGTATAACGGAAGGTACTAGAGTTTAAAAACTTCATGGAATATACGTATAACAAATGATCCAATGAGGGTATCTAAGTGCAAAGTAGGAGAAACTACAAGGTGTGTAAGTGCTAGTTAGCCTAAATTTGTATTTACCTTTCCTAAGGACAAGTGTTGCTAAGTATATGTACAACGAAACGCATACACATAATGATATATATAAAAATACTTTGTGATACGTATCTGCCGAAAATACGGTTCTTGAAAGTCATGAGTTACTTATGCATGCGCACTTAATTTACAACTCCCTTCTCGAGTCCCGTCCTTCGCCGCCCGAACCCCGCGGCAATGGAGAAGTGGTGTGTGGTCACCGGCGGTGCGATAGAGCTTAAAAGCGCGCACCTGTGAAATGCTGATCCATCAGAAGTGGTGGTCCGACGCCATCTGGGGCGCCACATCAGGCTGACCCCGCCGAGAACGTCGCCCTTGGCGCGAGGCTACTCCCGCGGCCGTGCGCTACGCTGCCGGCGGATCTTAGGAAAAGAGCGCATGTTATCAAAGGTTGCGTTTTTTATATATCCCCAATTCTAAAATTACCCTCCAAATCTAAATGTTTGCTGATTTAACCCCTCAATTGTACCGCCTTAAGTTAGGGTGCACCAAAAGTTATGTTTGTAGTTGTTTAGCTGAAATTTTCCCTTCCACCATTCAAAACAAAAAAAATGCAAATATTTTCCTCAAAAAATTGCAAATATGACTGATTTGGACGGTATATAGGTAAATTTTGTCTGTTCTCGAGAATCAAAGGTCTTGCAGTTCAGTTAAACGTGTTTGATAAGTTTGATTTTAATACCCTTTATTAAGTAAGTTTCTTTTCATTGGCAAGTACCAGGAATAAAGGGTTTCCTTCATTAAGGTAGAATGAAAAATAGTCTAATTTAGTTTTTTTTACTGTCAAAAATTGTCAGGATTTAATTGGAAAATACCAAAGAACAGTTCTTGATTTCTAAGACACGGTTAATGAAATTGTCCTTCTAGTCGGTGCTTTAGTCCTTGGCCGACTAAATTGGAAGTCAAGTACAAGTTTCAAAATAGTTTAGTTTCTTTATCTAACAACTAGCTTTTAGAGAGGAGCTCTCCTGGGTCTTTTTAACAAAGGATGCAAGAGCCAACCTCACCTTCTTTGTTGCAAGAGTGATGCAGATGGTGACACCTGCACTCATTGTTTTAAATACCCCCGACATCGCCTGATATATTGGCCGATATATCTCTTTACAAGGCTTGCCGCAAAGCGATATGGTCTAAATATTCTTAACCACTTTTTGGCAATTTTGGGTGATATATCCTCGACATGGCTGATATTCAGCAGATTGTTCTTTTATATGGCTCATCGTAAAACAATATGTAGCCTTTGGCAATTTTCGGGTGACATATCATGGTTTTCCGAATATATCAAGTGGCAGTTCGGCTCAGTTAAATATTGCATTGTCGATGTGGACTTTTATTTGTTTTAAAAGGTTGATTAGTGATCATAAACATATATTATTTGCAGTTGTTTAATTAAATTTCATTAAGTATGTTTAAATTATATTTACGACATTATATTACATATGCACATCATCTGATGTAGCACTCGGATATTTATCACTTATCCCCGATATTTTCCTGGTATCCGCAATTCGATATGAATTTCGGTTGTCTGATATTTCCCGGATATCTAATATTTAAAACCTTGCCTGCATAGTAGAGAATGCGAAAGTGCATTATTCATCTGGGATTAGTCTAATGCCAAAGGGGAGACATCAGGGTTGCAATGTTCGACTGAGATTTGACTAGTGCAAAGCTAGCTTGCTTGGGCACAGAGATTGCAGAAAGTATGCTGGTAGGCTAGGGTCAATGCAAACTCACATTGATAAATTTAGGATCAATTGTGGTTTTATAGAGATATGGGTTTCCTCCATCTAACAAATAGTTTTCATGAGTGAATTCTCCTTATTCTGTAATAGAAAAATTTCGAAAGGTTTTTATGTGGAAGTAATTTCTTATCAAATTGGAAGTTGTGATGATATTCTTGGAGTTTTGTTATCACATCATATGTAGAATTGTTTAGTTCCACATTCAAAGAATATATATTTATAGTTTATTTGCTCTGTTACATAGAAAATTTGCCTATTCCTCCTGGATTAAGTCACTTTTCTACCATATCAGTCTCTAACAATGCAATGAATGCATAAGAAAAAGAAATTTCTTGATTAGATTATTTGATGATTTTTTATTCTGATGCAGATAGTTATATAATTCAATTGGTATATATATGAACATCCAGGAAAAGTAACCAGTCATGCTCAAAGGAGGATTAATAAGATTTACCTGTAAACACGAGAAAGTAAATCCGTCTTATCATCTAAAAACTGACAAATATGCATGATGTATTTAAAATCCAAAAGCGGATAGTTGATTTTCAAGGTTGAGCTGACATAATAATGTAGAACATGTGGTATTTTAATACCTTTGAACATTAGGAATGGTGGAAGGAGCATGTCCAAAGACTTCCAATTTTAGATGGTGGATACTGGAACTTATGTACCGAAAAAAAAGATACTGGAATTTTATATAAGTTTTATAAGGTTAACTAGCTAGAATTAGGAGTCATTGTTTTGGTTCTCTAAAATTAAGTATTAATCATCTTTCTGTCCTGTTTGTCTCAGCATTTGAAGGAGCAGAGGTTGTCTTCCACATGGCTGCTCCTGATTCATCTATCAATAACTATCAGCTTCATCATTCAGTCAATGTAGAAGGTTGGATCCCTGGAATGCACTATATCTCACCTTTAATCATCATTAACATGAAGAAAGAAGTTATAGTTGGACATAATGCTTAGTTTTTACACATTTGCAGGAACCAAGAACGTTATTCGTGCTTGTGTAGAATGCAATGTCAAAAGGCTTATCTACACAAGTTCGCCTAGTGTTGTTTTTGATGGTGTTCATGGAATTTTTGATGGAATGGAATCAATGTCATACCCTGAGAAGGTATCGATATTTCTGAGATGAATTTGATGGCAGCATTACTAATACTAATGACTATAGAATTTTTTATATTAGCCCCCAAAATCTTTCATATTTTTGAAATTAGGCCCCAAATCTTTGAAGTTATTTAAAAGTGGTTTCTCTGGTTAGGGCCCGTTTGGTTGCTGAAGAGGGCTTGGGAAAGCCTGCTAAAACTGACAAAAACTGTCAGTTTTGGTAGGCTTTATGCCCATTTCAACTCCTCTTTTCAGCAACCAAACGGGCCCTTAGAGGTAAAGTGGTTTCTCTGGTTAGGGCCCGTTTGGTTGCTGAAGAGGGCTTGGGAAAGCCTGCTAAAACTGACAGTTTTTGTCAGTTTTGGTAGGCTTTATGCCCATTTCAACTCCTCTTTTCAGCAACCAAACGGGCCCTTAGAGGTTGGTCGAAATTGAGGGAATATTACACCATATTTAACATTTTTGGGTGCAATACCAGTTATACCCTTATGCATTCAAACCCAGACCCCCAAAAAACTTTATTGAAGCATAAATTGGGGAAAGATTCTGCAATGTTAGACCTAAAAGCTATAGATTTTGGTGTTGATTTTGGTTGATTTAGGTAATTTGGTAATTACCTGGCTAACACTAACCCAACCATGGTTAATAGTTTGGATGGAAAACGTAATAGAGGGAATAATTTGAGAACACGTAAAAGATTTGGGGGACTAATTTCCATATTTGAAGATCTCTGGAACTAATGTTGAAAAACCGGTGATTTTGTGTACTACATTGAGGTTTATTTTGTTCTTACTTTTCTTTTACCTCCAGTTCAATGATTCTTATTCAGAGACCAAAGCAGAAGGGGAAAGGTTGGTAATAAATGCCAACGGGAAAAATGGACTGCTTACATGTTGTATACGCCCTAGCAGTATTTTTGGTCCTGGTGATAAGCTTCTGGTGCCATCACTAGTTTCTGCTGCGAAGGCTGGGAAATCTAAGGTAATGCATGTCAACTTACAGTATTTTGGTACTTTTGTCATGATAAATTGATAATCACCTTTGGGGATGTTTCCATCATCTCACATATCTTAAATTTCTAAACTTAGTGAAGTAGAGATTGCTTTATTTATTTTTACTGTTCTGTTTCTCATTTAGTCTCTTCTTCTCAGAAATTCTTTTGCATCATATTAAGCATTCTGGAAGCATATACAGGAAATACCCTTCATATGGCATGTGTCTGTGATTTATATTGGTGCAAGTTAGGTGCCACTTGAATTGAGATGTTCTATTTGATTGAACAGTTTTGCGTCTGCCTTTGAATTGAATTATCCTGTTTAATGGGAAGAATATTATGAAAAAGGCACAAAATATCGTCATTTTCCTCCCAGGAAGTACCCTTCATATGTCATGTGTCTGTGATTTATATTGGTGCAAGTTAGGTGCCACTTGAATTGAGATGTTCTATTTGATTGAACAGTTTTGTGTCTGCCTTTGAATTGAATTATCCTGTTTAATGGGAAGAGTATTATGAAAAAGGCACAAAATATCTTCATTTTCCTCCCAAAGCTTGCTCGTATTGACGAAATTATTTCTTTGATGGCAATGAAGCAGTACTTTGAATATTGTCAAAGGACCCTACCACTGCGCCATAACTCCGAAATTGTGATGAGGGTTGAGGATTATAATTTTGTATTCTAATATCCTTCCGCAGTTTGAGTGCTTTTTTGAGGTGAAATCTGGACTTACACAGTGCTATCAAATCTTTTTTGAAAATTCTTTTTAAATTCGCATCCAAAACTGGGTTGCTCTAATGCCATGTAGAAGAGCACTTCCACTGCACCAAAACTTTGGAGCTGTGGTGAGGACTGAATTGAGGGTTATAACGTTATAATTACAACAAATATTAACTTGAAGGTCCTGAAACATTTATTGTGATTCTAACAAATATTAACTTTGTTACCCTGAAGTTTTATTTTGACAATTTGATCCCCCGAAATGTGAAAGAGTTGACATTAAATTTGTTCAGGAATATCAACACAGAAAAGTGAAGGGGAAACAATTTTTCTTACCGAATTTCAGTTTTCTGAGTTTGGGGAAAGTGACGAACAAATTTAAGGATTTCAGGTATCAACTCGTCAAAGCAGAACTTCAGGATATCAAAGTTTAAAAAGCGCAAAATTTTTTGGGTATTAAAAGTGCAAATAAGCTTTCTAATTCTTTCCCCACATGCTGCTTTTTACTTGTTTGGAAAATTTTTATAGTGATTTGAATGAAGTATTTTGTTGCTATTGGAGAAATAGTGTATGAAGATGTCTCTTCCCTACTTTGGTGTCTCTTGTTTATGCTTGAACCATATTTAAGCAACTTTGTTATCCAGTCCCAACTGTTTACCAACTCCTCAAATCGAGAATTTTATCATTGTGATCATTTATGTTTACGTAATATATATGGATAAGTACCATTGTAACATGCATCAGGAAACCTTAGTTTAAAATATAGACTTGTGCTATCTTCATGTTGTTGCCATTGCCGTTAAATACTAATGACCATTTAACTTTCTTGTCCCTTTACTATCAGTTCATTATTGGTGATGGCAACAATTTATATGACTTCACCTATGTGGAAAATGTTGCATATGGCCATATATGTGCAGAGCGAACTCTAGCTTCTGGTGGCTGTCGTGCGGAGAAAGCAGCTGGACAGGTAATTCAGCTGTCATTGTGTTGATCGTTTTATTACTGATGCTTAACATTTTTTGCTATGTTTGCTTAGCGTGATGTTTATGTGCAGGCCTATTTCATAACTAATAATGAACCAATAAAGTTATGGGAGTTCTTCTCACTTATTCTTGAAGGGCTTGGATACGAAAGGTGAATATAGTATCCATGCCTTCACAAATTTCCTTTTCCATTTTGAAGCATTCTTTGGCTGATAATTTAGCAATTTGAAAGTTTTTAACATGCTATAAGATATGATCCACATGCAGATGCACCCATCAACATGTACGCACACACATTAACTATGGAAGGTGACGTTCTCGTTTAGGCATGCAATAGAAGGATTAATAGTTCTTTAATTCCAAACTCCTTGAAGGCTATTATGTGAAAAATCAAGAATTGTTCACTTTGACTCCTATAGGGACATAGAGGATATCCTAGAATAGTAAAGTCTATGCTCCTGATGTTTATATAGTAAGGAAAAAGTTTATTAGTTGATAGATACATCTGTAGTTAAAAACAAAAAAATGAAATATATAATTTCGGCGAAATTAGAGAACTCATGTTTTCTTCTCTTAATCTCGCATCCTTCATTTGTTTTCTCCCCTAACCTTTATCTTTAAGCAATCCACATGCATATTATCATACATGAAAAAAAAAATGAAGAGCTACATGCCATAATTTATTCTATCAGATTGTAGTTACTGCATAGGAAAGTTTGAAAAGATTCATTAATTTGATATTTTCTATCACTCAGAATGGAACTTACTAAATATGCACATAACACCACTATATCCATTGTTAATTCTTGCTTTATTCTATTATACAGGCCAAGCATAAATATCCCAGTTGCCGTGGTGATGCCTATAGCGCGTTTTGTAGAGTATACATATAAATCCTTCTCTCACTGTGGTTTGCGCGTGCCTCAGCTGACACCTTCAAGAGTTAGACTTCTTTCGTGTAACAGAACTTTCAGTTGTACTAAAGCCAGGGTTCATCTTGATTATGAACCTCTAGTTCCACTCAAGGTTTCGATTTGTGGAACAGTCCATTTGCTTTAGCCTTTAACATCGAAGGTTTCAGTTTTTCCACTATAAATTGTTCTGAGATTTTTTACATAATTTAGGAAGGTCTGAAGAGGACAGTCGCTTCATATTCACATTTGAGAGCTGTCCCACGAAGTCGTGCATCTAAAGTGTCGTTGATTCTTGGAAATGGAAAAAGTAAGGAATCTAAGGATGTTAATATTTAGGGCAAGTTTGACGAAAATCCCACCAAGTTTGGGCGTTGTTGAAATTTTTACTTAAGCCTCAATAAGTTGGGAATGGAATCCAGAAAAACAAATTTTATTTTTCATTTTTTCACTTAACCCCCATAACGGCATTACCCCGTAATTATCGTGGAGGAAGATACCCCCAGGCAAAAAAAAAACTTCTGAAAATTATATAAGAGGACATGAAGGTTTTTTTTAAAGAAGGGTATTTTGGTGTTCTGAAAGCACATGATTTGCACATGACACATCAGAAAATAGTGTTAGTTTTGGGAATTTTCTGACAAAACTTATTGGGGGTTAAGTGAAGTTTCAAAGTTTATGGGGTTAAGTGAGAAACGTCCAACTTATTGGGCGATTTTGTGAAATTTACCCTAAAATTTATGTATTCTTTTTTGTTCTTGTTAGTTACTGAGATATTTTTTTTTTCTGTTCCAGTGGCCAACACCCTTCTCTGGAAAGATAAGAAACAAACACTCACTGTGTTGCTGGTCTTGGCTATTATTTACTATTACTTGTTTGCATTTGGATATACCTTCATCACAGCAGTATCAAAGCTTCTCTCGCTCGCCGCTTTTTACTTGTTTGGTCATGGTTTTCTACCTACAGAAATGTATGAATCTTCATTATCTTCCATTTATAGTTTATGACATTCAATTCCCATTCTCTTCAAAGTCATGGCATCATCCAAAATTCTCAAGACTTATTATATTTTCACAAATAATTTATAGATTTATATATTTTTAAATTGTTCACATTCCCAGTTATATATTTGTCTTTGAGCCTACAGTTTGTGAAGATAAGAAACAATTCAGAATATCTCTCAGTTAGCAAATACTCATAATTTATTCCTATAATTAATGCAGGATAGTGATAAATTAATAGAGTAGATATCACAAAACTACCATGAACCACCATAAACTATTTTTTCTATTGAAAATACTTTTAGTCAGTAGAAAAATGCAACATACTAGCAGAAAGCTATATGGTAGCTTTATGATAATACCTGAAAGTTATATATCAATGATGTAAAATACGTAGTTTTGCGACCTATCTGCAAATTCATGGTTGGTTTGTAAAACATAAATAAAAGCCCTTGACAGTGAATTTAGGAGTAGTATTATTGATTATCTGTGGTTTTTTCTTCTTCTTCTGATTTTAAATTGTAAAATTGTTCTATAATGAAAATAGTTGATGTTATTTTTTTCCCCAAAAACTTCTAATAGTTCATGATAGTGATAGTGTTGTGAAATTTACCCAGGATAATATTTTGTTACTAGATCTGAAATGCTACAAGTCATGACTTTGCAACCATTGATGATGACTCGCAAATTATCAAGTCTTGAAAATGTGTTTTGGGGACAAAAACTTCTAATGCTGAGCAAGTATATTTTGTCCACGCTATATCAGAAGGACCGTGATCCTTGAAGCTTGAGATCCTTTCATTGTAGAAATATAAATGCCTATAGAACTAACTTTCTGTCTTTCTTCTCGGTTTATGATTGCAATAGTTACGTTTCTGCTTTAAATACTTATTAAGGTCCTATCCATAGTACATCTTCTGCTGTCTTTTACATGTCATTAATCACCAACATTATCCACTATGGTTACAGACAGGGAATCAAATTTGGGAAGATACCACCTTCATATTTTCATTTATCAGAAAGAAAGGCACACCGTCTTGCTTGCGTGGCAACTTCTTCATGGAATTCTGCAGTTCGCATACTAAAATCTCTTTGCAGGGGGAAGGATTGGCCACTATTTCTGAAGGTTTTTAATACTCTCATTTGTAGCTTATCGTAGTTCTCTAGATAAATAAAAGTCCTCTTCATAAATCTCTTATTGGTTAAATTTCAAAAACTACCATAATTATCAGAGGTTTTATGTGGAAAAATAGCACAAACTTTTAAATCAGTAGAAATCCCCTAAGGGCATTAGTGGTGTAATAAAAAAAACTTGCTGTTAAGTCCAGTTGCAAATTAGTCTAGAAGAATGATAGTTTATGGAAAGAAGTTTGTGGGACTCTTTCTTAAATAAAAATAGTTTGATACTTGATCATAGTTTTATGATATTTACCCTTACTTGATTTGTTGAGTGCAGTTGCAAATTTATCAATGAGAATGAGCAAAAACGTTTTGTTCGTTTTTAGTCTAACTGTGTGTTTTAACAGGTAGTAAGCATTCTATTGTCTATCAGCTTCCTCGGAACCCTGCCTCTGCAAAGCATATTCACACTAGGTTCGTTCAGATGCTTCTCTATTGAGTAAACCATTTCTGAATATTATTGGCATTTTCAAATAATGGATTCTCTCTGTTCATTTTATGGTCCCAGGTGTTTCTTTGCTCTTCTTTGGCTTTGTTGTTTATGAAAAATGGGAGAAGGAGATTGATGTGCTATGTAGTAGAGCTTACCCCCATTTTCTGAAGCTGAAAGCTGATGCTCTTCAGAAATTATCAAATAATTAACAGCAGAAGATCTCAAGTTTAAATGTCTTATTTTTTTTCCCCATTCTTGTTGTCAAAATGCATCTATTCTTTGAATTATTTACCTAGTTAATTGCCATAAATACAGCTAGCCTTTTTCTTGCTTTCATTTTTAATTTAGCAACATATCTTTTAATTGTTTGTATTAATATTTGGGGTAATAATCCTACGCTGTGTTCCATGGTTTCTTCAGTGAGACTCTACTTGTGTATTGTACTAGTTCTTGTGCATGTGCAATACCCATGGTTAAATATCAAAATTATTTTTTTCCGTTTATTTTCTTACTATAAAATAAGTCAGATTTATTTTGAGTTAAAATCTATAAACATGGTTTGTTACATTTTCCATAAAATTTATTTAAATATTTATAATTTTTTTATAAAATAGATGATTAATTTTGAAAATCTTTTCGGGCCAGGAATAAACAACTAACAAGTTTGCAAGGAAAGATATGGTAACATAGTACATTTTTAAGAATTATTAATCTTTGTTTAGTTTGTTTATAATGATAGGATCTCATTATTAACTAACTACAATGTTTAGTACATTATTTCTTTTGTTGAACGTTCAAGGTAGGCAAAGGACTCATGTGAGTCTTCATCGCAACGAATGTTATACAATTTAAGTACAAAAGAGATGGAGAATGGTGTTGTTGGTGAGGGGAAATTCCAGCAGCTTAATTTGGTATGTGGATATATAATAGATGAAGATGGAGAATGGTGGTTTTGAAAATAGTGGGTGTCTTCATCGCAACGAATGTTATACAATTTAAGTACAAAAGAGATGGAGAATGGTGTTGTTGGTGAGGGGAAATTCCAGCAGCTTAATTTGGTATGTGGATATATAATAGATGAAGATGGAGAATGGTGGTTTTGAAAATAGTGGGTGTGTGTGGCCAATTAATATGATTTTTCAGCTTTAAAATCAGGTTTTGAAATATCAGTTTTCGGTCGACCGCACCGGTCGACCGCTCGTTTGTTTTTTCGTCAGCATGGTCCAGAGAGTTGGTCGGGTCGACCGGTGCGGTCGACCGAGAGCTCCATCGGTCGACCGCACCGGTCGACCGGATAAGTGTTTGCTTGATTTCCTGTTTTCGACCTGGATAACGGTCGACCGAACTTTCCATCGGTCGACCGAATTTTTCCATCGGTCGACCGACGGAATTTTCGGTCGACCGACAATATAGCCGTTGCTTTTTAACGGCTCTTTCTCTGAGCTGTTTGCTGGGGTTTTTGGTCATTTCGTTTTGGGGTTTTTGGCTGAGCTTTGAGTGGGTATATATACCCCATTGCTGATGTCTTTTCAAGTTGATTAAGAGAGTTTTTTAATCAAGTTTAATAAAGTTTTTAACAAGGGTTTTAGTTTGGTTTAAGTGTGTTTAAAAAGCTTTTAAGCAAATTGAGAGTTTGTTTTTGTGATTCAATTCTACAAGAGCTTGAGGAGATCATCTATTGGTGTTTGGGCATTCAACTATTCTCCCTCCAACTCTTGATATATTGAGAAGTTTTCTAAACTCTATTTCTAGCTTTTTTATATATTTGATTATCATTGTTATTAAGCTAGAACTACATTGAGTTTAGTTTTGATTTATATCTCTTTGTTCACACACAACCTTTTGAGCTTATTGTATTTACATTCATAGTATAATTTGGGGTTGTGGGTTTGTGACTAAGAGTTGTGCTTAATTGAGTTCTCACCTTGTTTAGAGAACAATCAATTGATTTATCTTGTGCTTAATTGTGAGGATTCACTTGTAATACACTTGTACACCGAGAGAAGTGTGTGGTGAGAGACGGGGTCGAATCCAAGAGGAGTGGCGTCGGTTGACGTGCCTAGGGAGAGGTTGTAACCGAGCACTTGAGGAGGAGGACACGGGCTAGGACCAACACTTAGTGTGTGAGGTGTGATTACATAGTGATTGTATTGTGAGGTGTAAACGTTGTTCGGGTGAACGTAGAAAACCCGGTTGATAGTGGATTTCTCCCCGGGAGTGGGGAGCGGAGACGTAGGACGGAAGGTCCGAACTCCGTGATCATCTTTGTGTGTTTGTGATTGTCTTGGCGTCTCACTTGTGCTTATTGTTCATATCATTCTTGTCGCCATTATCTATTGTTCACATTGTCCACTATCTTGTTTATCTTGTTTATGTTTATATCACCCTTAGTTTCATATCCTTGCATATAACTCATAATATATTTCATCATATAGGATATATCACTTTGTGTATATTGCTTATTCTTGTTTATAACTCTTGTATATCTATCTTGCAAGAATACAACTTGTTAATTAATTTTAATTGGCATTTAATCGGATTAGATTAGCATAAGACCCTAATCACCCCCCCTCTAGGGTCTAACAATTGGTATCAGAGCTTGGTGCTCTTTGATTTAAGGTCTAATCGCCTTGAGTTAAAGATCCAAGTTATCTTGTTGTGCTAATCTTGTTTTGATTGCTTTTGCATCTTGCTTGCATATTTTTACAAATTATGAATATGAATGATGCATCTTGTTTAGGCTATGATTCTAGTGTTGCTCCTAGATTAGACAATTTCCCCTATGCCCAATGGTGTGTTAGATTTAAACTTTTTGTTCAATCTAAACACTTTGATTTATGGGAAATTATAGATGATGCTTATATTGTGCCCATTTTGGAGAAATCCAAGTGGGATAAGAATGATCATCGTATGTTTACAATGAACAATATTTTGTTAGAATATTTGCTAAATGCTTTTAATTCATCTATGTCTAACAAGTTTGTTCATTTTGATAGTGCTTACACCTTATGGATATTTATAGAAGCACATCAAGGAGACTTGGAGGCGATCCGACAAGCTTTGGAGGATCCCGCTTCAAGTTCATGTGGAGCATCATGCACACGGCCACTAGGCGATAGCCCTAGTGAGGTTTGCGAGTTCGAACCCGATAATGATTTATCTAGTGATGAACTTGCTTGTGCTAGTGAAAAATTATTACATGCCTTTAACAAATTGCAAAATGATTTCATTAATTTACAAAGCAAGCATGTAGAACTTATATCCGATCATGAGAAGCTAGCTTCCAATTTTGATATCATTTCCAAAGAAAATGTTGCTCTTAAAGAAAGTAATGATATGTTAAAATTGGAAAATGAGAAATTATCATCATCCATTTCTAGCTTATCTCATGCTAAGATTGATGCCATGTTAGAAGTAGAGAACATAAAAAATAACACTGCTTCATTTATAAATGACTATTTATGTTCTACTTCTAAAAATGCATATGTGCCTAAAAATGAAGATTTGAATCTTATGAAAAATAGTATTTCATCTTTAGATTCAACTTTGAAAATATGCATTAATAATCATAAGAGGCTTATGGACATGTGTGCCAAGACTAAGTCAAAATCATCCACTCATTATGCACACATGTATAGCAAAACTTATAAGTGTTCTATTTGCGGCCGTCAAGGTCATTTAGCTAAGTTTTGTTATGATGCACACAAACATAAGAATTCTAATGCTCCTTGTGCATCTCATGTAGCTTCTTCATCTTGTACACTTACACATTCACATGCTCATTCTCACAAAGTTCATCATAAGCATGCTAGTGTGTTCAAGTGTGATTATTGTGGTCGTTTTGGTCATTTGGCCAAATATTGCTTTGATTTGAAAAGAAAATCTCATTTGACAAATGCTTCTAATAGACCACATGTTTTTAAATGTGATGTTTGTGGTAGGTTTGGACATCTTGCTAAATTTTGTTTTGATATACAAAAAGCTTCTAAATTGTAATATGTTCCAAATAGACCATTGTTTAAGAATGTTTCTCATTTGCAAAATAATTTTAAAAGAAAATCTTTATTTGCAAATGATTCCCGTGCACGAGCTAATGGTCCACAAAAACAAATGGATCTCTTTCATTGCACAAATTGCAATCGGAAGGGTCATTTGAATGAATATTGTTTTGGCCATGTTAGTGCACCATATGTGCCTAAGAGGGTTCATAACCCTAGGGCTTTGAGCTTAAATGATAGGGGTCATGTTCCTAAATCTTTTGGTACCAAGAGTTCTTGGGTACCAAAACAAATTTGATTTTCAAACTAAGAATTTTAATGTTTTTATCCTTATTTATCTTGGTTTTGAAAATTATGCTTTGAAATCTTTTTATATGAAAACAATTTATAATTGATAAAATCTTTTGTTTTCATGATTATTTGTTTTGTTTTGATGAGAGGTTTGTACTTATATAACCCTCCGGATTTATTGGGTGTTTATTCCTAAATCATGTTTACCGGATGCTAAAATGTTCATATGGGTTAATACTAGCTCAAGAGCTAGATAGAGTTGCCTATCTTGATTTTTAAAAATCAATGATGATTTGGTTTTTTGATTTAAACTTTGATTTATGATTTCAATTGGTTGATTTGTTTTCATTTGAAATTTTTTTACATGATTCTCATGTATCTCTTCATTTGATTTCATAAATCTATTTTATACATTGGCTTTTATGATATGAGACAATATGTTCATCTTGATATATTTATATATGTTCTCATTATCTCTTGAATGTGAGTGATTTTTGGCATATTATTTATGCTTGCTCACATGTTTGCCATGATCTTTTATTGCTTATAATTCATATGGCTTTTTGATAGGGGGAGCTATTCCCTATATTTGCTTTGTACTCACCCATGCTTATTGATAGGGGGAGCTTTCGCTCTCTTCATACCTTTGTCCCCTTTTTGATGTTGTCAAAGGGGAGAAATATTATGAGTATATTCTTTCTTGTTTATATGCATGTGAATTATAAGTTATATATTCATTTACTTCATGCATATGTTTCTTTTTGTAAATTGTTTGTTATCATCAAAAAGGGGGAGATTGTTGGCCTTCTTCTTTTGATGATGTTTAACAAACAATTTACTTCTAATGTTGTTTGTTTAGTATTTGTGTTTTCTTATTTATTATAGACAAACAACGTTGTTGGAGTTTGGATGGATTAAGCCTACACGATCATATTAAGAGGAGGTTGGCGGAATTGTGGAGTGAAGCATCGTACAATTCAAGATCAAGATCAAGCTTGGGTAATTTAGTTTAGGATTTATATTATGTGTGTTAAGTACGTTAAGCT